CCAGTCGAGGTAAAGTTGCAGAGGTATCAGGTGCAAGCACAACAGCGTAGCCTATGCTGGCAGAGAGTTTATTTCATATCAAATTCAGCTCCCAGTAGTTTGGCCAGTTTCGCGCTAGCAGCGTGCCTCTTCTTTCTCTGTGACAATAATTCACTGTCACAAGGTTCTCCGCTCTGCCGCCTTTATTTTGGGCCTGGCATTGTTCCTGTCACCTGTGAGCGAACCGGACTAGAGGGCATAGCGCCTTGTGCCCCTATAAACTTTATGTTCTGTCGGATGATGGGTCTGCAGCGATTTATGCTTTTTGCTCTGTCGGAAGTTTTTAAAACTATATTGAAGGACGCAGCACTGACACTCAAACCGGCCGACACTGCTTGTTTCCTTGTCCTCTCTCGCTCCCACCCCGCCCGCTTGTCGCATCTACACTGCCCTCCGCTTCTAGTTTTTAGTAGCATCTGTCCGTTGGAATGGCGCACAAACCGACGGCTACTTTACGTGCCCAGCTTATACACCCTCTAGTATAAGGTCGGCTAGCTAAGAAAGAAGTCATTTACAAGATCCCATGCGAAGCTTGTGATAATATATACTGTGGCCAAACAGGAAGGTCCGTCTTCACACGCATCCAACTGGCAGTAAAAAGACTTGATCATTTATCCAAAATAGTCATGCATAGCCTTGATGCAGGACACACCTTCACATGGGACAAAACACGCATCGTTGTAGATTGTCCCTCCATAAAAGGCCCAGAATATCTTAAAGTGGCAGCCGCAATTAGCATTCGCACAAAATGACTATTGATTTTTAGCGCGTTAGCAATTTTAATTGTTCGTACCAAACCATCTCAAGTCTGACGATGACCTGGGATCCAGCGTCGAAAATCTACTGAATAAACTTATCTTGTTCTCCAAAGAACGTGCTTCCTTCAAAATATGTTTCTTGGGATGTCTGTCTTCAAATAGGTAAATATTTTTAGCTAAGGAGGAAGAGGGTAGAGTGAGGTATGACCGGCTTTTATGTATGTGAGGTTCTCCAAGGGAAACGGGTGCCAGTAGTCGAGGTGTGTATGCACTTGTGGACAACAGTTTAGTTGACATTTTTTTCGCGGTTCCTGTACTACTTGAGAACAACCAGTCAAGGTAACGTGGATGGATTTTATCGGGGGAAAAGGAGATTGGCCAATAGAATTGCGCTAGTAAATCCTAGCTTTCACCATTAAGTGGGTGTTCTGTGCAGAAGTGCATATCGTTTTTCTTAAGCCATTTCTACTCCGTCATTCCAATCTGTTAGTCAGAAAATTTGCCTGCAAATAGTTTCCCAGACACGAAATTTATTATACCTCACATTAGCTTTAATCAACGAAGTTTTGTCTGAAATAGGTTGGACCTCAAATAGTTTTGCGATAACATTGTCGAGTCATCTTCTCTTTTGAAATCCATACGTTTCATAGCTTCTTATCAGCAGTAGGTTGCATCCCTATGATCTGTACTGATGAGGGGTGAATGCGAGTATTTACTTTTCATAATATTGCCTTCCGGGAGCTTAGGCGTAACTGGAATCAGCCTACGTTACGGTGTCTAACGCTGCAATGTTTATGCTAAAAGCATTTTCAATGTGCAGCGTGCGCTAAAACTCACAAAATGTCGGCTGAAGTCTTTTGGTCCAGTGTGAGGGAAGACCACAAACAGGATTCACATGGGACATTAACACCAGTCGTTTCATCCGTGACAACCCTTTGGCTGTGGGGTTGGGAGATGGAGCAGAGTAGAGCGTGCTGCTGTGCTCCAAGATTCAACGGCAAAAGCCAGGTGCTGGAACCTGTTTACGCACCACTGACGACCATTATTTCTCACGGAAGACCTTAATACGCCTCAGATTCATTGCTTTTACCCCATAGGTCGTCCATCTTGAGGGGTGGGCGGTCACAAGTGCTCCTGATAGGACGCAGTAATGACAACGCAGGAAGTTTTTCCTGGCTAGGCGCACCTTCGCTTCACCTGCTTGACTTCCTCTTCTCACGCTTATCCGGTTCTGCCTACAAGGCAGAGTCAACACGACGGGGAATTAATAACAGCGAGGTGAATGGTGAGAGGAAAGAGTCTGTCTGCGTGCGCCACACACGACCTAGTTTTGGGCTGCACACGTACAATCAGTGACCGAGCTCATGCATTGTTAACCAAAAATTTTTAAATGGGTTTTAGACTAGGACATGTTGAGTTAAGGGATGTTCTAATACTTATTATCTTAGGGCATACTGCCGACATGTTTTCGACACGCTTGTATGCCGGCCTCTAAAAAAAGTCTTCTCGGTCTCCTAAAAACCTCCCTTCATAAAAAAGATTACTTATGTATTATGCATTCCTCCATAGACTTTCGATGCCATTACAGGCTTCAATATATCTTTTTTATCTGAAACAAGGGCAAAATAATCTTTATTGTGTTCTTTTGATAGCCTACCACGTCCTGTTCAAGTAGTTTACTCGAAAAAAATATATCCTTTGGTTTTAAAAAAGTTCCGCTAAGGCTTTCTTGTGAGGCCGCCTAATGGCAAAGCTCCCCCCACCAAATTTTCTTACCGAAATTGGGGCTAAAGGTTCAATGCTTGATAAAGTCGTAGGTGATGCTTGTTTAATGCGTGCTAAGTGCATGGTAGGAAATAAATTAGAGCCACTTTAATTGTTATACTGTACTAAACTTATATGTGATAAGCATGCGGGAGGAATAAAATCGACCAAAGTAAACACCTATTGGTCCGCAAAGGACGTCTATAGACCAATAAAAATATTAGGACTACTCCTATGGGTAGACATAATCAGGGGAGTGTTTGGATAAGCGGAAATTCGAGCTAATGAAAAAGTTGAAGTAGTTTTTGTTATTATCAATCACCGACAAAAGCAACCTCACAAGGAAGTTCTACCAAAGTTTCCAATTGTTAATTGTTACGACTGCATAATGTCCACACATATCGCGTAGTCCCTTTGTTTAGTAATGCCCTTCCTGGGATATAAGGTATAGTTTACGTCCATTGTAAAATTTTTTACGCACTATATCTTACCTTCTCAATGATGTACAAGAATATGGGATATTCCCTGCACGGAAGGCATATAGCTCGTAAACTAAAAATTTCTGAACGTGAATTCAAAGGCCTTTCCGACGCAAAATTTTTTGGGGAATGGAAAACTTTCTTAAAACCTCAACGTACCTTACCTTTGCGTATAGGGTTTGAAAAAATGTGATTTATTATTAAATGCGTACAAGGAAAAATACTTATGTTTATGTTTTCTATAAAATATATTGGGATTTGTAAGAGCAGTAAAAAATACATATAAAAATGCACACTACTTAAGTGATTATTAGTTTTTATCCAGCAACCTATTTCCAGTAAGTCAAAAGACGCTCGTTCCAGAGCCGTAATGTTACTGAAATACCTTGGAATTATGCCCCAAGATCATAAATATCACGATTCCGCTTAAGTAATTACTTTTGATCTAAAACTGATTTTAAAATTTTTGGTTACCTTATCATGAGATCGGTCATTGGCTGTACCGGGTGATCTCGGATCTCCCACGTGGAGGAGTGCTATTTAGACCACACTAGGAATGTGCCCTTACAATCTAAACCCCAACCAGAAGTATGGCCGGGGCGCACTCGCAGATAGGAGTCCTCCATTAGCACATTGTAATGAATGCTGCTGATTGTGATGCTGTTGTTATGGTTGGCAATGAGGATGATTACATTTTTTCCCATCGAAACGTGAAAATAGGCATTTGTATGGATGCTAAACTTCCACGAGGTTCGCACTCCCATTTTAGACAATCGCCAACCACTACCTCACTGTAATGCCTCTAGACCCCGGTGCAGACATAGGCGCAGCCATTCCAAGCGACCCTTTTCTGGCCCACTGACAGTTAGCTGCTCCTGTCTAACGGCGGCATACCAGGGGAGACAAATGTCAGAGGGAGGAGAAGAATTTGGCAGCGCAGCCTTTTCGTAAACAATGTTGCCTTCATTTTTCTTCTATGCACACTAAGACGGTGTTCCTTGCCTCTCTCCTACCCCGATTCTTTTTTCATCATCAATCGACCCTCATGAGCATGACCTCCAAATATATGTTTCTTCGGTTGTGAGAATCGACGTTTGTAGGTAATGGCTTGGGCGGTTTTCGGCTTATGCATTAAGTTGCGCGAGTCGCTTTGTGTGGGGCGTATTCATGTTAGCTTGTATTGTGCATTTGTCTGCACAGTCTAGGGAGGAAGAACTCGAAGGAGGCACTTCCTTCAAGCCTTTGGCCCTTTAAACTTATTCCGTACTAGCCTACTGTCTTTTGCTGGAGCCTCTGACAGTTTGTTTGATGATTTTCCGTTCGAATTTTCCCTTTCAGCGATGGGCAAACCGGGAGATTTCAAACTTTGAATACCTCATGCGATTAAACACAATCGCCGGTCGAACCTACAATGATCTTAATCAGTACCCCGTGGTGAGATTTCAGTCTTATTTTCTTCCGAGTTTACCCTGTTTTCCGCAAAAAAGGATATCTTCGATTTTAAGTAGTCCTTGAACTCTTTCGACTGCATTTCTCACAATCATGTCCTTTTATAGAATTTACATTTTGTAATCTTTATTTTATCGTGGCACATACGCGTACACCTATCAGTTAGAGGACACACTCGTCCGTCCATGGTGCCTTGGAGCTCACACTCGAGCCTACGCCACAAGGCGGCTAATGATATAGGCAGAAGGACATTACCGACAAAGACAATGGAGACTAGGATGGCCATTTCCGGCTTATTAGCCGTCGTCAGCCAGCCATACCCAGACCCAATTGGTCTCCCACCCGAGCCTCGAACGCGCGACTTTTCTGATCAGAGGCAAACGCCCTAACCATTGAGCCACGTGCTCTTTATCTTGCCGGTTTTTGATCGGGAACACACAGTGTCAGATACGCGTACACCGATCATTTAGAGGACATACTCGTCCATCCCTGGTGCTTTTGGAGTTCACGCTCGAACCTACGCCGCAAGGCGGCTAGTGATATAGGCAGAAGGACATTACCGACAAAGATAAGTATTTGGGTATGCTTTCAAAGGTTTTTGTTTTCTAACTACCGTAAATATGGTACCTACACAACACAGCCCATAATTGAAGATTAATTGCTTGGTTGTGACCTTGACAATAAAGGCTGATATAGGTAGTCATACAAGGACTTCCTTCAGTCATTCGTGCTGTTCTTGGGCAAATAAAGTTTATGGATAAGTAGGTTTTTTTTCGTTTAACTATTCCAGAGACCGGAGGAGGGGATCTCAACACACTTGCTCCTTCGGAACACAGAATGTCAGTACTAATGAGCACTATTTATGAACGCTCAAAGCTCCCAAAGCAAGATGCAGTTTGATATTCCAGAGTAGTTTTTATGGCATGCTTCGCTCGAATAGGAATTACCTTTACCTTTGAAAGGGAATTCCGCGCACAGAATTGTGCATTATGAAGGAAAGTACCATTTTTTTCAGAACCGGAGTGTTGTCAACAGCCTACTTAATCGAGAGAAAAAAGCATGTTTTTCCGGCAAAAACGGCTATCCAATCGAACTAACTTGATTATTTTACTTGTTTTTCTGCACAATGAACGCTTTATGACTTTGTTCATTGATGCACGAGACAAATGAGCCCTAAGAAGAAGAGAAGAAATGGTTATTTGCAACCAGGTGCCCAAACAAAAAATCGGACGAACTCTTTCCTATCTTACGAGTGTGTCTGAACTCGATGAGGGGCGCCTTTTGTAGTACCAACTACAAATGGCGCACCAACATACACTTACGTTATGCACCCAGCTTATTTATCTTAAAAATACAAGGCAAGATGCAGGAAGAGATACTGTCGCCTTACATATGGCTTTAGGCCTAACTGCTGGCGGTTAGCTTCAAGGTTATCTTTAAAACACGAAAATAATTACCCGCCTTGGGAATGAGGGGGGCTGTCTATTTCCCTGTATTAGCGAATGTATTTGGCTATTTTGATTTTTTTTAAATAAGTCTTATACTGCATTAAATGTGACACCCGCGATGTGATACATTTTCTTCAGCATTGTAAAGCTGTTGACATGTGCACAAGAATATCCTTTCATTGGCCTTAACCTTCTCAAATGTCACTGGTGATTTGTGTTTTCTAGGACAAAAGGTAGGCTTTGCCATATCTGTGCTATAACGGCGCGTTTTATTCACAATCTCACCATTCTCCTTGACTTCTGGTTAAGGCATCAATTATGTCAACTGACATCCTTTTACTTCGCATTTTGATGTTTTTCTCACAACGTCATCCAAATGTGCTTCCAGATAACCCATCTTCGTGCCTTTTCTGCGGTGACACTGGCTATTTCGGTTGTTGTCACATATCTACTGACTGGCTCCATTTAACGATGACCAGAGCATGATGTTAAGGGAAAAGAAGGCCAACGTCGACAATGTCCCCAAGTGTAAATTTTGACGAAATCGTTTACGGGCTGCTCCGAGAGTCAGTAATCTTTTTTTCGGTAAGGGTGACTTGTGTGGCCGCATAAACAGGACATGGGAACAGGGACAGGCCAAAATACATGTGACTTTGCGTCCTATTCCGAAGAAACTATCTAACAGATTAATGTAAGGGGTTAGGATTCAGTTTAGGGTTCGGTTGGATTTATAGCCAGAATTTTGTTAAGGATTAAGCCTTCGTTTCGTTTTAACTGTTGTGTTTAGGTTTCGGGTAGGACTAGGTTTAAGATTAATGTTA